CCATAAGAAGTGGGCGACGCGACTCTTGCATGTGGGCGCACACATGCAGGGGTTGCGTGGGGAGCAGGCGACGGTTTTGGCTCTCATGCTCACACCGTTCTGCAGGAGCGTAGGACACATGGCATGAAGTCATGTTAGGAAATCTCCGCATCGTTTAGACAGCTAAAGTAGATTGTTGAGTTAACATGGGTAATTGACATATAGATGATCTTGATACTCATTTATGACAATATTTATGTGTTCTATGAATCCTGGATTCATACCCAGGGTGATGGTGTGACTCCAGGACTTAGTGGCACCACGCAGTGGTGTCATAATTTTATTTATACTTACAGATGGAGTAAGAAAGTGATGAGAGGCATGGACGGACATTCGCTGGTGCTTGAAGGTACATACAATATAATCTGTGGTAAGTAATCACCATTCGTCTCTCGATTCTCCCTTTGTCACGTGTCTATCGTCAAAATCTCGCGATCCACGGTGGATAAGTTTCTATCACGGATATGGGCTGCATCGGCAGCCCCGCCCCCAGGAGGATCGCGACAATATTTATGAAAAAAATTTATAAGACATAAAATACATGAATGGCCAGAATGAACCTGGCCCTATTAACGCTATGGATGTTTATTTTTGAATTTAGATTAAATCCATTTATATTGACGTTTTGGCTGATTCTTGTCTTTGTCTCTTTTTATGTAATAAAATGCTGAAATTTATTTAGCGCATAATCTAGCACTCTTTTAAAGCGCGTTTTTTTTTAAATCTAGCGCTTATTACACCATTTTAGCACTCAACCGGATTTTTGGTCTGGCAGCACTGAAGGCGTAAGTTGTAACGGGGGTTTTTGGGTTTTTGGCGGGATTTCATCTTTATATTCTAATTATTTCCTAAATTCGTTCATAGTGGATGTTGTGTAATAAAATTGTCTAATTTTGTATTACAATCATCTGCACAACTGAAGAATTAGTGTAATCTTTAAAATATTCGGGTCAAGTGGACGTGAGAACTTTATTGTAGTGTTGACTACCCCACAGAAGCTTATCGAAAAAACCAACTCGATACGTTTCGTGCCAAACCACAGACCAATAAGAGAACAAGTTGTGCCAAACACTCCAAGAAACATTAGAATGCGTCACACCGACATTCTAATGTAAATAAAAAAGAAGATTAAGATTTGTATTTATGGTGGTTTTCCAATCACAGAGCATAATGCAACTCAGTGGCGCACAATGCCGAATTATGCTGATGCTTAATTTGAACGTGAATAAGTTTTCAAATGCACCAGCAGAGTGTGCTAAGTTCAGTGTTGAGAAAAAAAAGGCAATGTTTTTTTTTTATTTTTTTTTTATAGATAGGTCCGACAAATGACTCCACCCCACCTGATGTTAAGTGAAGGTGAAGTCCAGACGCGAAGATAGCTGATACAGCAGTTCTACCTGCCACACCAGCCATCCTCACCCTGTCGAGCTGCATGTTGCTTCTTCACGCCTCTTTTAAAGGATCCCAGGTTGTAAGAGGGAGGGAACACGTGAGCGGGCAGAGCATTCCATTTACGGATAGTGCGACAAAGAAATGAGTCACCAAATTTCTTTGTACGCGTTGGAATTGTGGCCAAAGTAAAACGGTGACAACGTAAGCCAGCGCGCGTGGTCTTCTGAAGGAAAGGGGAAGGTGGGATAAGAGAGAATAACTCCTCAGAACACTCACCGTGGTACAAACGATAGAACGCGCTTAGTGACGTCACGTCACGGCGTAATTGAAGAGGCTCAAGGTGTTTAGTCACCTCCTCATCGCCTATGATGCGGACCGCGCGCCGCTGTAACCTATCCAAAGCACCGAGCAAGTACTCGGCGGAGCCATCCCAGAGGTGTGAGCAATATTCCACGCAGGACCGCACTTGCGTTTTGTACAACAAGCACAGTTGATCGGGCGTGAAAAAACGCCGCACCTTGTTCAGGACTCCGAGTTTTCGTGAAGCTGTTTTGATCACGGTTTCGATGTAGTCCTTTGGATTCAGGTCTGAGCGAACTTCCATACCGAGCATGGAAATGTTGCTCTGCAGCGGTAGTGTTGTGCCCTGAAGAGATGGAAGGTATGGCGATGTTTTTGCCGTGAAAGCGCAAGCCTGAGTTTTCTTGGCATTGAACTCAACCAAGCTCCTGGTACCCCATTCGGAAATGTGGTCCAAAGCGTGATTGAGCTCATTGACAAGATTTTCCCGTTTCTCCTTGGTTACTGCCTGCCCAGCCGCTGCTTTTCCGAGATACCCCGTCTGCATAGCAATGAATATTCCCAAGAGGAATTAAGTCATTGATATGCAGCAGAAAGAGAGTGGGGGATAGGACGGAGCCCTGGGGAACGCCGGCATTCACTGACATGAACCGCGAACTGCTACCATCCGTAAGGACACGAATTCTACGCTCATGCAGGAAGTCAGCTAGAACAGAACTGGGCTGGCAGACCGTATGCCGGAAGCTTGGAGAGACCCTGTCGAACGCCTTGGCAATGTCAAGGCTGATAGCCAACGACTCGCCACGCTTGTCGATAGCCTCACCCCAGATATGAGTTAAGTACGCTAGAAGATCACCCGTCGATCGTTTCGGTCTAAATCCATATTGACGATCATTAATCAGGGAGTGATCCTGTAGGTAGCGGGTCAGATGGTTATTAAAGACCTTTTCTAGAACTTTACATAAAACTGAGGTGACTGCTATTGGCCGGTAGTTTGCCGGGTCTGAGCGATCCCCTTTTTTGGGCACCGGTTGCACGTTAGCATCTCTCCAAGTCTCCGGCACACGCCCCAAAGAATACGAGCATTGGTACAAGCGCGTGAGCACGGGAGACAATTCCGCTGCACATTTTTTAAGTACTACTGCTGGGATGCCATCAGGTCCACTAGCTTTCCGGACGTCGAGTGATTGCAATTCGGCACGAACCTCACGCTGCCTGATTTTAATATCAGGCATCGTTGTGCCACAGTGAGGTAATGATGGTGGCAGTGCGTTGCAATCATCGATTCGGGAGTTAGCCGCAAAGAGTTTTGCCAGTAAATCAGCTTTCTCCTGCGGCTTATGAGCTAGTGTTCCGTCTGGGCATCTCAGAGGTGGCAGCGAGGGCTGGCAGAAGTTTTTTTGCGCGGCCTTGGCCAAACGCCAGTAGCTACGGGAGCCCGCAGGATGCGTTATAAGTTCCTGGCCAACACGTGCAACACGCTGGGCATCCGCTCTGATGAAAGCCTTCTTACAGGCCTTGGAAGCAGAATTGTAGGCTGCTTTGAGTGAATCGACCCCGGGATCCTTGAGAGCGCGGCCTCTGATCCAATCACGATATGCCGCTTGTTTACGCGAAGCAGCTTCAGCACAGTCGTGATTGAACCAGAGGTTACGTGTGCCCTTACTGATGAGATCAGAATGAGGAATATAGTATTCTATACCCATTATAATCTCCTCAGTAATGGCAACGGAGCTGCCCGATAGGTCCCTGTCACTGAAGTAGCGCTGTTTCCAAGGGACGGACGCAAAGTAATCGCGCATACCGTCCCAATCTGCCGACCCATAATGCCAGATACGGCGCTTGACCACTGCTGGACGCGGATGCTTGGCCTGTGGTGCTTTGGGAGATATCAGGCAGTGGTCGGACGAGCCCAGGGGGGCTCTTACCACAACCTGATAGCCCTGTGGATGGGTCGTGAGCAGAAGGTCCAGCAAAGAAGGCGCTTGACTTGGAATATCTGGGATCCTGGTGGGCGAATGTGTGAGCAGAGATCCCTGCATGGTCAGTTTTAGAACTGCGTGGGGGTGTGCACCGCTGTACGTCCAAACTTTGCTATTGAGGCTGCCATGCGGACGCCGTCGCGAAGAGTCCGGGCAAATAAGGGAGGTTTGTTTTCCCGATTGACTGCCTGCAGAGGAGATGCGCCGACCTACCGGACGGAAGGGCCCCCGCACCCCCCCGGGAGTGGCCGCCGGGACCCCACGCCCCGGTCACCAACCGGCACGACGGTCCACCCCGAGATTATGCGTGACATGATGGGGCAGCCTCGCGAACTGGTTAGGAACGCTTGGGCCCCTGTACTGTGCCACGGGCGGCCAGCGGGACAGCCGTTTCTACGGGTCTCCCTGGCCGACGGGTCGATGCAGTCCTCCCGGCATTGGTTCCACGGATGCCTCCCCTGGACCGAATCCTTCGCGACAACTTCCACTCGAGCTCTGGTTGTACGCTGGCTGACCCCGAAACGCGCGAGATGCACTTCACGGGTTTTTCACCATGCGCACGGTGGTAACAAACTAGGCGGGTGTTAGGGGGTGCCTAACACCACCAGACCACCAGAAGAGCGGATGGAAGCTCCGACATCCCTTAGTCGCTTCTTACGACACCCACGGGAAGAAAAGGGAAAAGTTATATTCTTTCTCCGTCACCGCACGGATAATACCTTCATCCATATTTATATTTAATTTTTTGACACAGTTTGAATTAACTTTGATTATTTAAAAAAAAACTATAGTGAAACGAAAGTTTTAATAATTTTTCAACGATAACATATAAATAAAACATTTCGATCAATGCCAACTTAAAGAAAAAACACTTGTTAAATTTCTGTCTCCGGTTGGTACGATTGCACGCATCACACGAAAGCATTATGGTAGCCATACACACATCGAGAAATCGTTACGAGTTTTATATATATATATTTTAATATATATATAGTATTAGTTTTATAACATACACGCTACGATTTATCGGTACCGTTCGGACGGTACAGTCTAATCGTAACGATTTCTCGTAGTGTGTATGGCTGGCTTTACTTTTGAGAGTGCTCGATTGTGTGAAGCGTTGCTGTAGTTGATACACTCAACGTTGCTCAACGTTAAGCATTATGCCGCTTAATGCATTATAATGCTGTAATTGGAAAGCTACCTATGTATGCAACTGAAGGACTTGTATACATGGTCGTGAATAATTAAAAAAAAACTCGTAACGGCCAGTAACGGCCTCGGCAATTTTAAAAGATTAATTTACAATCGGAAATTTAACATTAAAAAGTTATTTTTAAAAGATTAATTTACAATCGGCAAAATAACATTAAAAAGTTATTTTGAAGAAAAAAAATTTGTGTTGCTTTAAGGACTGACTGGTGGTTAAATTTGTGAATTCTATCATGGCTTTCGTTTATTCTTCTCTAAGTCATTTAACACTTTCGGATAGTTTTAACTATATTGAAGCAAAAATATTATATCATAATATTGTTATTCAAAGTAAAAATACAGTGCATTTATTGAATATTAAGGATGGATCTAACGGAAACCCCCATACTACATTAAATTTTAAGAGTGATATAGTGGCTAAAGCTGAGCAGAAACATCTATTGTGGTTGCTATTAAAATCTGGCGAGCTAAATATAATAAATCTAAGAGAATGTTCTCATATCGTTGTTATTATTAATAATTATAAAATCCGAGAACTTCACTGTATTCCTGACAATGAATTATTTTTGGTCAGTGAAAGTGGTGATTTTTTTGTGTGCTCATTAGCCATTGAAGACATAGATATTCAATTCAAAAATGGAGTATCAGAAATCTCTACAGATTTATTGAAAACTTCAAGACCGTTGAGTGTTACAAAGAGTAATAGTATAAACAATGTTTGGAAAGGATTATTTATTTACAATGAACAAGAAAATCTGACTCTGAAATGCCCACTTACTAATTTAAATAGAAATATAGTACATAATAAAAATGTGAAATATATTTTACCTTGGAATGATTTGCTTATATTGTCAGAGAAGTGCAGTATGTGGATTATAAACCCAATAGATGCCAGTGTTTTGTTTGTATTTCCCAGCAGCACTATGAGTTACTATCCAGTTGAAATTTACAATCAAGTTCTCTACTATTTAACATGGAGAGAAAACGAAGTAAGTACTTTCATTTAAGTATTATATTTTTTTATTTAAAGTACCAATCATAACTAAGTTTTTACTATGAATGGATTTCAATGTTATGTCACAGTTTATAAATGTAACATACCCCCCCTGGATGGCTGGATCTGAACCCAGTGCCCTCCGCTATCTGTGTAGATGCACTAACTTCAATGTTAATGAGATGTTTTTGATCTAAAATTTTTTTTGGCTGCAAAGCCTCATTGCGTTTTTGCATTGTAGGTAAACCAGATTGAAGTTTACAAGTATTTTGTACAAGTAGTTTTTAAACATTTGAATGGAGAAATTAGCATTTGTAGTTAAAAATATTTTTGAAGTGAAAACTTCTTTACCACTGTTGGGATTTAAGATTTGATGAAACAGAAGTAGAGTATTTGACACAATAATAATTATTAATTAATTAACCGTAATTTTGTCATTTACTATAAGAGATGGATAGCTGAACACAAACATTCTTGGTGTCGACACCAACCGCTCAGTGAATCGCTTGGTAACTGTTAAGTATAAAACTTGAATAGTTAAGTAATAAACGTTTGATATGTGCCTAGGTTGTTTGATAATACAGGCTTGGTTTTTATGAACAATCCTCACCTTTCCAATGTTTGCGATTCTTTTAACAGTAATTTGAATTTTTCAAACAGTAATTAAATTTTCGAAAGAATACCAGTTTTCGCGGATTGCGTACTTCAATCTGATGTAAAAAAATCTAAAGTTCAGAGAGCACTGGATTTCTATTCACAACGTGAATAAATAGAAAAAAAAACTACATATTTTGCCTTAAGTAAAGAAACCACAAGCATCAATAAGGATACTTTCTAAAGCGTGTTAATGAGCAAAAAACAGTAGCACTCACATGGGACACTCAAGTGTCCTCGGACGTTTGACTAGAAAAACTTTTATGGCATTCAAGTGTCATGAGACTCTTTGTGAGTACAAAGCTTGAGAAAAGGCATCACAACAACCATGGTGTTTCGTATACGTGTACGTATTTTGTAGAGTAGTTTCATCAGTTTACATTACATTACAGACAAACATTTAAATCAGTTTTAAGGTATGATCAGTAATAACAAAATTATAAAAAACAATATATTTTTAAGTATTACTTATTAGTATTATTATTTAAAAAAGAGCCACTATCCACAGCCTACCAATAGTTATATTTAATATTTAGTGGCATATCCCTATATTTCCAATAACACACTGCAATGACGTGACTTTTTAATTAATTTCATTAATTTTTCTAGGGGATTGAATTCCATGCTTTAACAAATGCTTTATACAGGGTTACAGGGAAAGTCGTACTGAATATTGAAGGACGTTATTATTCAGGTCATTTCTGATGGATTTGGTCCTATAATATGGTGTCCAAATCTTAACTGTTATGGAGATATTGGATATTAAAGATTTTTTTAAAAAATTGAACGTTGAACTTAAGCAACTTTCGCAGTGGTCGGTCATTGGATGGGTGACCAAAAATTACTATCTCGAGCTCCTCCGTGCTTCGGAAGGCACGTTAAGCCGTTGGTCCCGGCCGCATCTGCAGTCGTTAGCACCCATCAATCCGCACTGGGCCCGCGTGGTGGGTCATGGTCCAATCTCCCTATTCCATCAATAGAGAAGGCCTGTGCCTCAGCAGTGGGGACATTAATAGGCTGGTGATGATGATGATGATGCTTTTCTGGTTTTATTTACGTATTTTTGCTATTTTTACCTCAAACTAAAAATGTACCCTCTGCTACCATAACTGTTATTTGGTCAATGTTTTGCCAATTCAATAGTAAGTGTTATACCTTTTTGAATAGCTAAAGAGACGTAGAAGTTTTTAAAATTATTTGCAGAATAAGTTCCATACATTTTTTTTTTAGAAAAGTGCTTCAAAGTTAAGAACACTTGGTGAAAATTCTTTAGTTATAAACGTTGTCGAGCAGTTTTTTTAAGCCGTTAGAAGTAGGTTCAGTTTTTATTCATTATTTTTATTGCTTGACATGTCTTCTAACTAGATACATTAAAAAATCGGACCTTTGGAGCTCTAGTTTCAAAAAAATCGACAAAAACCCAAATAATATAGGATTTTTTATAAAAATCTTTAATATCCAATATCTCCGTAACGGTTAAGTTTCGGACACCATATAATAGGGCCAAATCCATCAGAAATGACCTGATTGATACTTAAATAAGTATATTTATATAGAAATATATATAAACACCCATGACTAAGATACAAATGCTCGTATTCATCATACTAACATTTGCCCCCACCGGGATTCGAAACCGGGACCTCGTGACCTAAGTTGCCTATTTCTGCACGGATTCAGTACGACTTTCCCTGTAACCCTGTATACATAGTTCGTTTTGACTGGTGTTACGTTTGTTTGAGACTTTGTTTTTAACAATATACCAGAGATTTTATATTGGGTTTAAATCCGGACTATTTTGCTGGCCAGTCTAAAACGGATATACGCTGTTCGCTAAGGAAACATTTGACGCTATTGGCCGTGTGTTTAGGGTCATGGTCATGCTGAAAGTCCCAGGTTACAGGCAAATGATCGTCCGTTTCTGTATTGCCATTGATCCATTGTACCTGCAATCTTCCGAACGGGTCCAACTCCACATCCGGAAAAATACCCCCAAACTTTAATGTTACCGCCACCATGCTTGATTATACTCCTTGTGTATTTATAATTAAAAGCATTGTTTACAGGACGTCTAACATAGCGCTTTCCATCGGAATTTACCATATTTATTTTTGTTTCATCTGAAAATAACACTTTTTTCCTTTCTCGTACATAGAAACATGTAATCATGTTTATTTAGCGAAAAATCATCGCTTCTCTCGGTGTTGCTTGGTAAGAAGCGTTACCTTTCGAGCGATTCTTCGAAATAATTTAGCTTCTGCTAATCTTCGGCGTATCAGTCTTGACGAGACGTTTCTCGGATCATCAGGCCAAAATACTTCATTTTTAATTTGGTTGGAGCCTTTACTTGGGTCTGTTTAGCAACATAAATGATAAGCGTATCTTCTGGGAAAGATTTTTCTTGGCCGAGCCTTTATAAGATCATTTTCAACATGTGTTTTATAATGATCAATTGCATTAAAAACTTTTTTAACAGAACAATTTAAATGCTCAGCTATATTTCTGTACGCCCACTTATAATGCGATTCAACTAAGAATAGGACCGACTGGGCGCCATATTGTGACGTCATAGCTGTCAATTCAAGTCAGTTAGGTAGAGTGAGCAAAAGTTTATTATCAATAAAACTTATTTACAAAGAGTAAATAACTGAGAAAAGATATCAGATTTTTAATAATATTTATTTATTAAGACTGAGCGAGAAAAAACATTAATCATAATCTAGCTCTTTAATTCCGCTCATCTCTGCACTACCGTCGGAGTAGTCATCATCATCGTCATCATCATCATCACTATCATCAGTATCATCAAATCATCAAAACTGCTGCTTTTGGCTATAAAATAAAATAAAAATTATTAGGGTTTCAAACGATCTTTATTTAAAATAAAAACAGTCTTTTTATTACCTGTATTTACCTTTTTTTTTATCTGGGAAATGCTTTACGCATCCTTCAACCACCGGGGGAGCGAGAAGAAGGTATGTGGGACTTCCTCCTTGCTTATTTCATCCAGCCCTTGGGCCGGGTGAAATGAGCAGGGCCCTACCTAACGCCCTGAACAGGGCCACTAAGAACCAGACAATACTCCTGCACCGGTCACCCGGCGTACATTCTGAGGACCGCAGTCCCCCCAATGCACGCCGGGAGTGCGGCTGTGGTCGCGGCAACCGTTGCCGACTGTCCGCGAACCGGTATTTACCTAGTCAGGTCATAATTCTGTCACATGTTTAATATAAAATATTTGAAACAAGTTTATCCATTATGTAACCATTTATATACCAAAATGAACTTAACAAAATATAGATTCTTATGACAATAAAGTTTATTCTAAATGACCTCCGTGATTTTGAATACAGGCCTTCAATCTGCGCGGCCAGTCGTCTATCGCAGCACGAACGAGGTCCATGTCAATATCGGCGGCTGCCTTAATCAAGGATGTCTTGAGTGACTCCAAATTGGGATGAGGCTTTGAGTGTTGTGTTGTTGTGTGTTGCCAATTCTTGTAATCTAACGGACTCAAATCTGGACTGGAGGAGGGCCAGTCTTCGTGCCGGATGAAGTCGATTTCACCCACCGCCAGCCAGTCTTGTGTGCTCTTCGCTCTATGAGCTGGCGCCGAATCTTGTTGGAATACCCAGTGCCTGTTATTGAACATGGTATGAGAAACAGGTTCCACAAGGTTCGTCAGGACTGTATTTTGATACACAACTGCATTCGTTTTTACACCTTTCTCACAAAAATGTACCTCTGTTAAGCCCCAATAAGAAACTCCCAACCATACCATGAGCGAGAATGGAAAATGACCTCGTTGGACACGCGGAATACGGTTGCTCGCTTCTTCACTACTGTGTGCGTACACCTTATCATTTTGTTTGTTGTAGCTCTCTTCTACGGTAAAAAATTTTTCATCCGAAAAAAGAATTTGCCGATATTTTGTACGTGATGGTGTAACTAGGCCCTAGATACACCATCACGTACAAAATATCGGGTATTTAATATCGTTTTATTTATTTTAAGATTAGTTCAGTGCTTAAAACATTGTTCAAAGATTTTTTTGCAAACCGTACTTTTCAAGCGACATTTGACAGATGGAGGTCAATGGCCTTCCTATTTTTGTTTGAATCGCATATAGAGTTACCATCCGTCCGGATTTGTCCAGACATTTCCCTACTTTTTGCCCTTTGTCCGGCTTTTTAATTTATCCGGATTTTTTTATTAGATGGAATATGATTAAAACTACCGATTAAGTTATATCAAATAAGTCAAATAATCGTTATTAAGTTCTCATTAATTTAAAACAAAATATAAATTATCTTTAACAATCAACAACATGATGCGAGCGTC